TTACCCCTCGTTATTGAAATTTATGAAATTATGAGAAAAAAAATTTTTGGAGAGAAAATAAATCTCTTTGAAAAAAATTCATTTAATTATAAAATATTAGATGGTATACGTGGGATTCGAACCCAAGCAATAAAATACCAAAGTATCATACAGTTTTGAGACTAACGCGCTAACCACTATGCTACATGGCTCACATAAATCATGTTTGTGATATGACCCTTGACTTAACTGACTTGAAGTATTTCTTGGAAAGATGCGAATGTTTTGTCATAAAAGTGTACTTTTAAGGTAAAGTGGGTCTTCGCTCAATTCTTTTGTAAACCAAAAATATTTATTTTATCGCAAAGTTTAAGGATTATCTTTCAAAAAAATAGAGTGAAGACCCACTCATATTGAAAAATTTTGTTAAAGTATGAAAAAATGATCATTTTTGTTCTTTTAAGTCTGTGTATGCTTTTTCATAGGCAAATATTCTCAATCTTTGTGAGACTTTTGTAAATTATAGAAATTTTACTTAAGTATACTTTATTAGATGAAATATGAAATAAAATTTAGATATAATTGAGACTAAATTTTTCACTTCTTATCTGTCGCGCTATAGGCATTCTGCCCGCCTTATCGCCCCATCTTCTTTCCATCAGAGCAATATTCAGCACAAGTAGTCCAAATTTTTAATGTTTATATTTTGTAGATGATATTCATGCAATGAGGCCTAGAAAAAAAATATGTTTCCGCTTTCCCGACCGACCCTAATTTATAGTGCCGACCCTAAATATTTTTTTAATGCTTTTGTCCCATGATGTGTAAGATTTCAACCAGGGAATTATAGCCTCCAACTTTGCAAGCTTTTCAAGACAGAAAGAAGTTTGGGTCACCTTTCTATTATAAGTTAAGTCACAGTAATGCTTGAAAACACCATTTCTTTTGTCATTAATGTTACTTCTATACACGTTTTGGTTAAAGAAGCAAAAAAATTTTTTTCAAAAATTGGCTACCTACCTACCCTATATTTTTTCAGCCTGAAAGCGGAAACAAACATATTTTTTTTCTAGGCCTGACTGTTAATTAATTATAACTATTTACCTTTCATTTGAATCATGATGCGTAACAGTGGCTTTGCTGTGCTTAAAGCTTTCTGAAAGTTATCGTCATTGTTGATAGGTAATAAATCTCCATGGATATCTGTGTATGTAATCACAAAGCTCTGTCGATCAATACTGTGTAGTGTGGCCAAGAGATTTTCAAAATTTTCATATTCTTTCATTTTATTTTTGTCCACAGAAAATCTTCTAAATTCTGCATCATGCTGCAAGATAAGAAAAACGTCATTACTAAAGATAAATGGGGGTACATGTATGTTTTTAATTATTTCAAATGTGTCATATAAGGAAGTTGCAAAAATAAATATTGATTATTTTTCAATCTATAAGTAGATGCATGACATTAGTCACTGACATGTGAACATATTTCATATCACTCAGAAGTGGGTGCCAAGTAAAAACTCTCTAAAGGATCCATACATGCATCTTTGTAAACTTAATCTATTTTTAACTTGTCACAAATAAAACTTTCATAAACAATACAACAGTGATCTATAAGTACAAGGATATTTACATATTTAGAAATCATGCATGATTATAGTCGTATATGATAAAAATTTAAGTCCTCATTTTTCAAACGTGTTAGCATCTGACAGAAATGATCATATCTACTTATTCAGAGTCGCTGAATAATTTTTTATAGAAATCATGATGAATGCATATTTCCAAACTTAGTGTCCATGCATTCCATCGAAATAATTGAATTTAATTCTTGATTACAGAGAAAATATTGGCTTTGCAAACACTGAAACAGTAACAAATATGTGTTAACAATGATATTACATAACAACAACAATAGTGGAGTCCCTTATCACTGCATTGTTATGACTCATTCCCCTGACCCATTTTGTCAATATTATTTTAGTCAACAATTATTGATCAATTGGCCTGAAACATACAAGGAGAAAATGAAAATGTCACCACAGACAATATAATTGCTGTCCGTTATAATAATTCTTTCTAAGCCTTATCAAATATTTAGGTCAGTATGACACAATAACTGACAGGTGTGCACATCCAGGTATCACACTGTAGAAAATATTTAAAGAATGCGTCACAAAGTTGTCGCTACATAGCTATGCTTTAAAAATAAACGACATACGCTTTACATGATACGGTTTAGCATGGTTTAAATTTATTACTTTACAAATAAATCTTCTCATTCCATCAAGGATAGGTTGGGGAGGGGCCCTATAAATAGATACACGGGCAATAATGGCAGGTGCAGGTGCCCGTCTACCTTACTGTACTACGCTATCTCACCAGACTGATCTCGTTAGATGTTACCTTGCTTTTAACTTCCACTAATCCACCATCTCCACGAAGCGAAGACTTGGATCCCTTCGACATCATGGAATCGGCCCTGTTCGGGGCTGGTCAACTCATTGAAGTTTATTTTGGTAGGTATCAAATCCTTGCGTAGGCCACTATTGATGACGTCAAATTTTTGGTAGGAAAATCTCAAAGAAAAAGCACAATGTATATCGCAGATCTGACCCGCTTTGTCGGTCTAAAATTAAAAGAATATAAATCACTAGACACTTTAATTGGAAAAAAGACCACTAACAAGGAAAATTAGGGAATATTAATTAATATGAAGAAATATTTCCTGTTTCTCGATAAAATCTAAACGGACACACTCAACTTCCGGATTGCGATTTTGTACTTTTTTTTTTTTTTGGAGAAAGTAGAATTATTTTATTTTCTTTTTATATTTTTATAATTTTATTTATTTTGTATCTGAAACAACTTTCACATTTTTTCTAAAGTAAATGTTTTGTTTTTTTTTTTTTTTTGTTTTTTTTTTTTTTTTACAAATGTTAAAATTTAAAAAAATTAAAAATAAAAAAAAACAAAAAAAAAAAAACAAAAAAAAAACATTTACTTTAGAAAAAATGTGAAATTTGTTCCAGATTATGGAATGCCATATACGACAGCCAACTGCTTACTGCCAAATGCTGACTGCTTACTGCCAACTGTCAGCTGCTTACTGCCAACTGCCACGCATATTTGAATAAATTTTATTTTTATATTGATATTTATGTAAATTTAAAAAAAAAGGCGCGGATCTATAAGACATTTTTTCCAAGAGATTCACTCTGGTAAAAAAAAAAATCCAACCCAGAAATTTCTTGACAAGAAAAAAAATACATGAAGTCCTTTCCTAAATGTGAAAATTTATTTCGACCGGAGGGAGGGGGTTCTAATGCGTCATACCTTCATGTGTATGACATTTTTCATACCAACTTAACACAAATCCACATTTTCGGTTGGGGAGGGGGGTCTAAGGTACCTTTTAGCTGATTTATTTTATACATTAAAGAACTTTTAGTTGGTTTAGTTTGTGTATTAAAGAACTTTACAAATTTCAGAGGGGTGTTCCGGACCCCTCTCTCTAGATCTATGCGTGTAAAACATATTTTATTTGTACAAACAAAGAGATATAAATGTTCAGTGGAGGGTCCAAGGTCAGTTATACTGGTAGTTCGTTTATAGTTTATTTAACGTATGACTGTACAAATTTTAAATGCCCCCCCCCCCCCGATCTATTAGAATATAATGGAAAACGGAAATTTATTTTCAAAACATCTTTCTCTGCGAAACGACAAACGACAAATCTTTTTTATTATTATTATTCTCTTTTGAAAGGTTTTGTTGTCTCCGGGGGAGGGGGGGGGGGGTCTTTAAAGATTAAAAGCTGAAAATAGTCATTTTATTACCTATTTCAAATAGGAAAACAAATTAAAAAAACAAACAATGTACTTTATCAACCGCATATATTGAATATTACATAAGATAAAACATATTGGTCATTTTATTCAATTTAATTTTACCAGGGTGGCCCCCTTGGAAAAAAGAATGTCTTGGATCCGTGCCATTTTCGTGAAAATTCATATAAATATTAATACAAATATAAAATTTATTCAGATATGTGTGGCAGTTGGCAGTAAGCAGCTGACAGTTGGCAATAAGCAGTCAGCAGTTGGCAGTAAGCAGTTGGCTGTCGTATATGGCATTCCATCCAGATACATAATAAATAAAATTAAAAAGATATAAAAAGAAAATAAAATAATTCCTACTTTCTCCAAAAAAAAAAAGTACAAAATCATTTAGCCAGGAGTACAATATTCACCGATCCCGAAGGACGAGATTAATATTGTACTTCGAAGGTGGCTTAATCATTAGAATTGACTGAAAAAACAATAATTGTTTAAAATTACTCGGTTTTTTTACCATCTTACTTGTTAATACATTCGCTGAAGTCCCAATTTTTTCCAAATGCAATGAGAAAAGCAGGGTTAAAGGATCGTAACCAGTCATAATTATAGATAATTTGGAATTTTTGAAATTTACTTTAATTGCTTAAAAAAAAGTACCAATTTCTTTTATAAAATAGGATCGATTTTGAAAGGAGGGTTCATCATCAGGGGTAAAAATGACAGTTAAAAAGAATTTTTGAGAAGCCCCTGACTCTCCCCAACACACACCATCCCCATCCCAAATTAAACGTACCCTCATGTCATATGTTCCGGACCTGATGTTACATCACGGAAGACAGTGCGAAATACATGTATGTCAAAAAATAAAATAAAATGAAAGGTATAATTAAGGAATCACTGTCTAGTTAATATAGTATGCCAGGGCATCAACTATAGTGGGAAACATCGGATAATTTGAATTTTGCATTATCCCATGTTTCCCACTATCGTAGCTGCAGATCTGTAGCTCTCCGAAAAAAAATATTGATAGACCGGAGAGCTACAGTGCCACCCATTGAAAAAACTGTATATTTATTGCGCACAAAAAAGTGCGCTCGGTTCTTGATTAATTCTTCAAAATTCTTACCAAAATTGAAAATAAGGAAAGATTTTTAAAAAATTTCTTTATCTTCTATCAAGTACTCTCGTAGTTGACATCCGAACGAAGCATATTGGACCGAATTATCTTCGAAACCAAAATGGCAGTATAAATAAGCGAAATGTTCGATGATTACAATATCAGGGTCAGGAGGACTATTAAAAACAATTATGAGGAATGTTTGGTTGTGGAAACAGCGAAAGAATATGTTAGGAACACACGGTTAGTAATATTTTGAGATTACAGTTTTAAAAACATGGAGAAATAAATCGAGAACCGAGCGCACTTTTTTGTGCGCAATAAATATACAGTTTTTTCAATGGGTGGCACTGTAGCTCTCCGGTCTATCAATATATTTTTTCGGAGAGCTACAGATCTGCAGCTACCACTATCGTTGATGTCCCTGGCATACTATACTAACTAGACAGTGATTTCTTATATTTCCATTTCATTGTAAAATAAAATTGTAGATTTATATTTTTTAAATGTTGACATAGATTTAAGTTATACGAGGACTCCCATGCCAATTTTAATAGTCCTCGATCGCCCAACACGTCAAACACAAAGGCAACCGCACGAGATTTACATGCATATTTGGCCTCGTTAGCGTCGGACACAGAGACAGATGCGCACGAGATTTGCATGCAAATTAGGCCTCCTTAGCTTCTGACCTATCGACCTGCCTATTTAACATTCCAGTAGAATTATCAAGAAATCAACTCTGTTAACTTTCAAAGAGTTATCAGAGAGAAACAATTTAGAAATGGAAATATTAAATAAGATATAACACACACACACACACACACACCCACACACACACACACACACACACAAATTGTCCACAAATCCTCAAACATTCTACGAATCTGATAAACTAATCAATAATTTGACATATGTTCAACTGTACATGTAACTTTAGAAATGGAAATGCGCAAAATAACGTGCGAAATATTCCACCTGTGGTGTAACAAGCTTTATTGCAGTGACTTCGCGTGATAAACGGAAAACTTACGAACTTCATAGACAGTCATGAAAACAATCAGTTTAGTGTTAATAAGTCTTCTTTTCTTCCATGCTTGTGAGTATCCTTATTTACTAAAGGAAATTTTGACTTTTTCATATATAAATGTTTTCTATTTTTTTCACTTATATTTAATATATAACGCATAACCTATGGCAAGTCAAACGTTGCAATATTCGATCTTTTCCATTTGTATTGTAAATTTTTCCATTTGTATTGTATAATTTTTATTTGTATTCTATAATCTTCCATTTGAATTGTATATTTTTTCATTTGTATTGTATAATTTTTCATTGCATTGAACATAGAATTATAGAATACAAATGGAAAATTATACAATGCAAATAAAAATTATACAATACAAATGAAAAATTATACAATACAAATGGAAAATTATAGAATACAAATAAAAATTATACAATACAAATGGAAAATTTTACAATACAAATGGAAAAGATCGAATATTGCAACGTTTGACCTGCCATACATTACCAAAGAAACTGAAAATTGTTGAAAGTCTAGTCCTTTAGCTCAATTTAACCCAGATGACAAAACTTGAAGTAGGTTCCAGCTTCTTTTAGTACAATTTTTATGTCCCGTAATCGAAGATTCGGGGGTATATATTTTGCCCTATTCTTCTAGCTGTCTGTCTGTTTGTCCACGAAAATTTAACCTTGGCCACAACTTTAACCTTTGAGTGCGTGGGGCTATCCCAACAATTTTGACTTTGACCTTTGAGTAAGACTTGCATTAGAAAAACTCCATACCTTGACATAAGCTGTCATACGGGGACATTAGTGTTTCACAAACACACCCCTTTTTTCAGACACTACTACAAATTCCTCATTTGCCTTCTAATAAAAAGAGATATCTCTCTAATACTCTCTATTTAAGAGATATCTCTTTCTTATAATATCTCTTTAACAAAACTCTTTAAGTTGAGAGATATCTCTTATTTTTAAGAGATATCTCTCTAAAATGAGAGATATCTCTGTAATTTTCAGATGAAATTTATTTTCCGAATAAATAGTAAAAGGGCTTGCCATACATTTGCCTTTAATACTTTAATACATTTGCCTATAATACAACAAAACTGGGGGGGGGGGCAACCGTCCTTTTAATGAGAATTTCCAATAATAGAAAATGACGTAAAATGTTAAGTTAAAAAAAAATGGGCGGGGTTGACCCCCTCCTTCTCCGTTGCTATGTGCCTGATTCAACTATATCTACATCCGACTTGAATGGACGACGTCCACTCAGGTGAAAATATCATTTTTATGCACCTTGGGGATATGAAATTTTAAAATATATTCAATTCCTCTAAACTAGGGGTAAAACATTGGTTGTTTTGTGTGAAATTCGTTCGTTGTAGAATTTTATTGCTCTGTGCCACAAAATGTCAACATTAACATTTCAGTTAAGAGGGCCATTTCAGATAAAGAAATGGTCACGATCCAAGGTCATCTTGCACGAGAGAAAATGAAATCGAATATGGCGTCTTATTGGATCACTGTTTAAAAAAGAAATGTAACAGTATATGTTTTAGTGTTTTTATACATTACCAAAAATAAAACATTCAACACCATTCTGAATTGAAAATTAGCCAGTAGGTATCGTAGATACCACCATTGGATAAAACATGTTGTTATTCATTTGGCGTTGAGATACTAATAATTCATTTGCGTCAGTGCAGACAACGTGATTTTCTACATTATATAAAGATACAGAAAACACATTTTTATATGTGAGATCAAATATTTTCCATTGATTAAATAAAGTGAAAGCCTAAACAATATGCATCATGATCCATGAAAGGTAGAATGTTTTTCCTTTAAATCATGACGACACTTTGTAGACTGTGCGGAACGGGCGTCGTCCAACTGCCTAATGGCTTGTCCAATGATCTGGATGCCCCTCTGTGGATCAGACGGACACACCTACAGCAACCAGTGTGAACTCACAGTCCAGAATTGTCTGTAAGTTATTGTGTAAACACAAAAAAATCATCAAGTTAATTAAAGAAAATGGAAATATGACGCTAACTTGCAGTTAAAGGAACGAGGGAGAGAGGGGGAGGGAAAGAGAGAGAAAGAGAGAACAATAGCGTATTTTTGATCACTTTAACAACAAAATTAGAAAAAGGTTTAAATAGTAATGTATAAGTTCATTTACTGTTTATCATTCAGATTTATTTAGACTTTATAAAAAATTATCCAACTTTGTTTTCTTTTTTGTCTTTTTTAGCCAAAAATCAAACGTATTGAAAATCCACGAGGGGCCGTGTGACCTGAATACTCTCGGGTAAAAAGCATCACAAGATTGATGTAATGTTCATAGTATTTGATGTACACCATAAAGAAAATCATCAAATTAAAATAAACTGTTGTCGAATTTTTTTAACTATTATTATTTATACCTTCACCCTCTTGACTTTGACCTTTGAATTTGATCCAAATTTGCAAGAATTTACCCAACTTTAACATTGGCCATAACTTTTTTAACAATTGGTGCTAGGGCCTTCTTATATCACATAAGTATTCTTTGTGACAAGACGTTTCCTTGACAATCTGATTAAAATAAGATTTTTGTTTCGCTCGGACATTCTGATGGTCGCATAATGATTGAAAACAAGAACATTTATAACTACTTTTTTATCTTGTCGTTAGTAACAATTTCAAAGGCAAAATATTACTTTTACATTTCTGAAACCACACATAGCCTCTATCTTGTATGCCACGTTTTTTGGTTAAATAAATGTGTGATAAGAAATTTAAAATAACAATTAAGTCATATGAACTAAGTCAAAACATTTAAAAAGTAAGTCAATGTCCCTCCAGGGCTTCCGTATTTCCGTTTACATTTTTAAAAAGTAATATTAGAATACCCGATGTACGAGGGTTGTTCGAAAAGTTCGTGGACAACTGTCATATCTTTTTTATTTGACGTCATATGCTATTTACATTCGGTAGAAATATTTAACAATAAATTCAAATGATATGTATTATTTTTTTTTTTCAAAATATTACGATTTATTCAAAACTTATCCAGATTTTAAAAATGCAAAAATCGGATCGCGGAGCAGGTCAAAATTTAGTCGGTTACAGACCATACACTAAATAATGTCTGTAGTCATATTCTCCATAAAATGGAGCTAAAACGGAAAACAACCTAAATATTCAAATTAAGAATTGTTACATGTAATCGATTCGTATACCAAATTATGGTTTTATATTTTGCTTCGTTGAAATGAAATTAACTTGAGAAGATAGGTAGTCCTTTTTGCAAAGGGCAAAACAATGACGTTTTAGAACGTCACGGAAAATCAGATAACGATGAAATTTTGTGTTTTCTCAGAAAAAATCCTGAATAAACTCTAAAAAGATTGAAGAAAATATGTCTCAAGCGAGTTGTGCATATGTGTACAAATAGTACAGGCAGTTTTTGAGTGACAGAGACTCTGTATCAGATGAGAATGATCTGTGAAGAAATGGTTTTACCAAAAAAATCTTAACAAAACTTTTAAAAGTTGAAACGTAAAGGAAAGACATAGGCGCTTCAGAGTTTCTTATCCTGTGAAAGCAGAGTTAAGTAAAAAAAAAAAAGGAAATTAAAACCTTAATAAAGGATATTATACAACGAGATCAATTCATAAAAAATAAATGTCAAGTATTGGAAAAAGAATTTAATGAATGGACATTGGAATATACTGTGTGAAATGTGTAGGGATAGTATCTATTAGAAATTCTCCACGCTATGTTTTGACGTTACATTGTCGTTAAGTGTGCTCCGCGGGTACAAAGCATGTTGATTTTAAAATGAAATAAATTGATTTCTGTTCAATCGAATGGAATGAAACTTCACACATCGACAAAACAAATATTTTTACATATTAAAATGGGCTTATTTTAAATTTCCTTTGAGCAATGTAACCAAGATTGACATCGTCCACGAACTTTTCGAACAACCCTCGTATATATCTATTAAGACGTCATAATCAACGCATACGTAACAATACCTCATTATTGGCGCATTGTCAGGAAAGATTTCCTAATAAACTGAGATTTTACAGCAAAATCATCATGGATGTCGGCCAACCAAACTGTCTAAACGTGAGTACCATTTATTAATATTGGGAGAGTTTTGTACAAGTGATGCCATTTGTTATGTTTGTCTTTATGTGATTTAACTATCTCTGCATCCAAAAGTTAATGATAGATACTAGACAGCAACACATAATGTACATAAATCGTTGTTTTAACATTACTCAGATAAAAGGTACACATATATGATCTAAAGCTTGAGATTTCTGACTGGAGATTACCTCGAAAAAAAGATAATCCAAGTGGAAATATATCATATTGTAAATTTTGACTAGATGGTGGTCAAATTTACCCGCACCTAGAAAATAAAAAAATCAAAATTTTAACCTTCGCTATGTAGCTATATATGGAGGCATCAGTGTTTTAAAATCACATTTTGTTTTGCAGTGTAACACTTTCAGTGTCAGTCGTAATATATTAGACTCGAACGGTTGTCCCACAAAAAGAAAAACGGCCTGCCTATAGCTATTCACTCAATTTTTAAATCTGTTTCGGCTGTAAGAAATACATTTTATTTATTATTTATAAACGGTATTATATGATATGAGTTGCTAACTACATGTTCATTACTCGAAGTTCAACGATTATGAGCAACATCACTGCTCTTCTTTTTGAGCATGAAAATATGTATTGTCACCTTCACCGCAGATCGAAAAAGTTTTCAGTGGGAACATACTTGTAATTCTTAAAGGTGCATAGAAAGAGATTTGAAGTTAATATTTTCTCAAATTTTCTGCATAATATTACGACTCATATTGCAATAGCATTTCACAAGAAAATATAATTAAAATCTTATTTCATCTCGAAGTTATTGAAACTCCGAATTTCTGGTCGGGTTTGATTGACATGTCCTTGCATTTTCACAAATTATAATTTTATTCTCAATACTTATAAAAAGCGGCAATTTTGTTGTTTATTAATGAAAAATATTGAAACTATAATCTAGAAAATTTAGAGTGAAAGTGTTCGAAAGGAAAACCCGCATATATATATTGTCAGTGGTGTGTTCAGACTAATGAGACTTTAACAACTGAACACACTCGGTGAATCGTAAACATTAACAAAAACAGGACTCGTGCCCTGTTTACAAAACCAGTTTATGTTTCACGGGTATATTCAATTTGTTAAACTCTGAAAAGAACACTGAGCACGACTGACGATATTAGTGAGGGAGTTTTGCTTTCGAACCAAGGAGGTCATGATTTGAACAAACTTTAATCTTCTATTATTTTTACACTTTTTCCTAAAGAGAGTCATTTCCTGTAATTAAATTCATATACATAACTTTGAGCGCCTATCATGCACCCAACTCTCATCACGATATCATGTTTTGAACAAACGTAATGATTTTACTGTTCTGAACAAGATGTTTGAAAGATGTTTCCTTTATATTTCTTGCATTATTTTGATCCCCCGTTGTGGTGCCGCCCTCCCCAGGGGTCATGATTTGAATAAACTTGATCTTGATCTTTTTAAAAAAGAAGATCCTTCTGTGATGTCTAACTACAGACCAGTGTCATTGTTGAGTTGTGTTGGGAAAATCATGGAAAGAGTTGTGTTTGAATATATTTATAATTATTTTCATGACAATAATCTTTTTTATAAATACCAGGCTGGTTTTTTACCTGGGCATTCAACAGTATACCAGCTGATAGAAACATATGATAATATTGTTAAAGCTATTGAAGATGGAAAATTTTGCTGTATGATTTTTTGTGATCTATCAAAAGCATTTGATCGTGTTTGGCACAAAGGTCTTTTATTTAAGCTTAAGACATATGGGATTACTGGTAGTTTGTATAAATGGCTTGAGAATTATCTGAATTGTCGGTACCAAAGGGTGATGCATCGTAACTTATTATCAACACCCAAACCCTTATATGCTGGTGTTCCCCAGGGCTCAGTTTTACGACCACTTTTGTTCTTAATTTATGTTAACGATGTTGCTGATAATATGGTTACTTTTTGTAGATTATTTGCTGATGATAATTCTTTGCAGCATTCGTCTCATAACATGAAAAGAATTGAAAGAGACTTAAACAAAGATTTAAATGCTCTGGAACTATGGTCTAAAAAATGGTTATTGAAATTTAATCCCTCTAAAACTAAAGTAATAAAGTTTAGCATAAAGAAAAATATAGAATATCCTAAGCTTCTTTTTCAACAATGTGAACTAGACTTCATTACTGAACACAAACACCTCGGAGTACTATTTTCACACGATGCCAGTTGGTCACCACATATTGATAATATACTGTCTATTGCCTACAAAAAATTGTCTCTTTTGAAAAAATTAAAATTTAAAGTAAATCGAAAAACACTCTCACTCATGTATACATCATTCATACGACCGCAACTTGAATACGCTTCAGTGGTGTGGGGTAGCTGTCAACAGGGTGATAGTGATAGGTTAGAAAAACTTCAACTTTATGCAGCTAGAATTGTAACAGGGTTAACAACTATAGCCTCCAAAGATTGACTTTATTTTGAAACGGGATGGGAACCGCTTAGTTGTAGAAGACAAGAAGCTAGATTAAAAACAATGTTCAAACTCCATAATAATTTAGTGCCAGAATACTTAATGGACATACTTCCAAATATGCGCTGTAACACATCCATCTACTCGACAAGAAATTCTCAAAATTATGATATTCCAAAGTGTCGATTACAAACTTATAAGTCTACGTTTATTCCTACTGTAGTTAACGAATGGAACTCCATTCCACTCGAAACTCGAAATTTACAGTCAATGTCGAAATTCAAATCTAAAATTAGTAATAAAGAATCTAGATCTGCTCCACCTTTTTACTCTGATTACGGTAACAGAAGACTAAATGTTCTTCAAACCAGACTACGACATAATTGTGTATTAAATAACGACCTTTATAGATGCAATTTAATATCAAGTCCCATGTGCACGTGCGGTAAAGCTGAGGACACATATCATTATTTTTTTGTATGTCCAAAGTATGCGAACGCCAGAAATGAATTTTTACATAATTTTTTACAATTTGATCAAATCCACATACTAGATACACATGTCTTATTATGGGGGGTTGATTCACTGAATGCTGCAGAGAATGAACGTCTCTTTTCTTTTGTTCAAACATTTATTAAGCATTCTGGTAGATTTCCTTGTTAAATACTGTACCAATATTAATATATGAATTTGTTCAACTTTTTATATATTTATACATATATGCAAAATGCATCAATTTGTTTACTTTTGCAAATACTGAATACTTTATATAGCATGTTTAACTGTGACAATATAAATGTGTAATTTATATGTATAG